GTGGTTACAATTGAAGAGCTTATGTGAGATGGCCGAATGAGGGGCTAAAGCAATAGTGCATAAGACCTAAAGTGAAACATCGTGATGGAGATATTTGTGTGTGATATTTTACCCAATCTAGAGTTTGTGACTTCCACAGCATTAACTACAGATTGACTGAAGAGAAGTACTACTCTATTCTATTGTATCTATGGCCTAACGTGTGAAAGAAGATTTAATTTATAGTAAGAAAATGATCTTAAACAACTATCGAAGTTGTGCTAGGTCTATTTGAGATCGAAAGAACAAGGAGTGATTAATTGCATGACCTTATTTCTGTAGTCACCAGACCTCAGCCACGTAGAATACTTTTGAGAACATTTGAAAAGAGGAAAGATAAAACATATTTTAACATCACAAAAGATTATCTAGGATTCTGTAAGAGTGCTGGAATGATATGGATTTTCAAATTCTGCGAAAGCGTATAAAACCGAAGCCGAAGTGCAAACGGTGATTAAGGCAAAAGAGACATTTTGACTGTTTTTGTTGACCTACATAAAGGAATTTATATTGGCTGAATTAATTAGCAGTAAAAAATTACCAAGTAAAAATGTGTATTCGTTTTTTATAATTGATGAAACAAACACAATGCTTGGCGGCGGATTCCGACTTTTGGTCATAATATGTCTAATAAGTGTAAGTATACATTTATAGCTTACGTGTAGATCCCTCCAAACCTGAATCGAATGAGGATTGGTGACTTCGCATTGCTGAAGAGCAGATGAGTCGCCGACAAGCCGAGAGGCGTCAGTCCGGGGCTGTGCTGACCAGACGCTATCGGAGCCATTAGAATGTGTAGCCTATTACGACAAAAAGGTTAAAGTGATGTACCTATGCGATATATCAATCGAATACGCAATTTAAATATGGCCCGTAGTGCTTTATCAAAATTTAATTATCTCAAAATTGGATATTGCCATAATATTTTGATAAGAAGCCTAATAGTTTGCCGCGTAAGGTTGGATCAGCTTTATTTTTTTCAATGAAAGTCATCTTTATGTGCAAAATGAGTCGAGTTGAAAACTTACATATCTACATCCATTCATGAATTCATTCAGCTCTGTTAATGTTAGCAGAAATTCCTGAGCTACCTAATAATTTAATGATTCGATAAAATAGGCAAAATACTGTAGATTCGAAACTTAAAGTACATCACTTACTCAAGAACTCTTCATAGGCAAATGGAGCAGATTCAACCAGAGCAAAAAGCTTGAAGCCTAATTTAATTGATTAGGCTGTAACCTCAGAATAGGTTATAAAAAGATCATGTTATCCTTACTTGTAGACCTCCTAGAAATAAGCAATTTTATGCAGCTATATTACCTGGAGTTAATACCATAGAAGCATATGGATTTGGCTAAAAGCTACATTTCGGTTTTGACAAGGGTTTAAAATCACTCATGATACTAATTGAGCAGGTTTCCATTATGGAGATACAATTTCAGCTTATCTATCCAATTATGAATTTTTAAATAAGATTTGTATAAGTAACTCTGAAATAGAAGCCTACTTAATTAGTATGAGTAATTTACAAATCTATAGTCGATCTCTCGGCACGTATCTCTTTAAGATAGATCAGCTGAGATTGTGGTTAAATTGATTCTCCTGGAGTCCACTCAGAAAGTTAGATAACGAATTTAATCACGAGGTGCCTTTATATACTCCTGATTAAGGCGTGAAGTGATTTATGAATATTCCTGAATGCATATGGACCGCTATAGCAATTCTTAAAACTGCGAAACTAATCATTCATGGTAAAGCAATGAAAATTTAAAAGTTCATAAAATTTCACCAAAACGTACAGTTTTATACCAGTACTATCAGTAATGAGGATAATAATAATAATCAACCTGAACTCACTGAAATAGTATGGCTATCTGGAACTGAATCGAACAGTCCAGAGGGCTGTCTGTAGTTTTCAGGGCACGCGTTTGCTAATTTAAAAAAAATAAGTATTATGTTTTTTAATATAATATAATAAGCGATAACATGAATAAGTGTGCTTTCAATAGGATAAGAAATACATTAATCAATGTCATCTAGACTTATTAGTAAGTAAACAAGACTCACAGACTTTCTCCACGCTTAACTATAAGTCTGATTCGAACTTGGTGAAAAATAAGTTTGCATGAGTCAGTTATATAGATCAGGGCACAGACAAAAGTGGGTTTCAACAAGTATGCGCACGTTTAACGATAGCTTCAAATAGTTTGAAAAGAAAAAATATACACCCTATACACAATGAGATTAGTAAATACGAATGCTCATTAAAGAAGACCCATCTAGCTAAGGACAATTCTTCGTAATATTTTAGTGATTTCGATATACGATGTTTTTCATATCACAATTATGAACCAGCTGGAGATTCAACACAGCCCTGCACTATATATATATATATATATATATATATATATGAAATAAGGTCGGCTTGGTTTAAAGCTATAACAGATTCATTTGGGGAGATTTCACCATATTTTTAGGATTTGTATGGTAAACTCTCACCAAATTACGTTTCGAAATATAACTAATCTACAAGGAATGTATCGAAAAGATTTTTGTAACTAAGTAGCTAATCGAAGGTATGAAGACCAAGATGGTGTTGCCTTTTATGTGGTCGCAATCTCCTTTCGTTGTATAGAAGTTGTTTGACCTTGTTTTTGCAACTTGGTCATATTG